TTGAAAACGGATGAACAGCTAGCCTACTCAAATAGGTTGGCTGTAGTGCGGGCGAAGGCCATGGCGATCATCATGAACCTTGATGGTGAACACTCTTGCATGGATGAGGTCCACATTCTGATTGGGCCGAAAGTTGATGTTAAGATAAAGATGATGGTTGATGGTTACGGTGACATTGATGAACAAGTGTTCTCCGAAGACTGCATTCAGCATGTTCCTGGAAAGTTTGGAGTTAAGGGGAACGTGATGTATATCACCGTGCCTGTTGAGGAAAGAGACAAGAAGTTCATCATGGACTGGTCATGCCTTGACCGCCCTGCGCAAAGCTGACCGTATGGACATGGACTACCATGGACTTGTACGATGATGATGTTGTGAACTTCCACACTGCGAATGGGGTCACTTCGACTTCCAAGATGACCAACATACAGTTTGGAGTGTTTAACGATCCCGTGCAAGCACATGTTCTTGATGACACACCATCTGTGCTGTCGATGGGAAAGAGATGCCTCGACCAAGGATATACCTTCATTTGGCCTGCCGCAAGGGATCCCTTTATGGTGGACCAAGATGGTATGGTGAAGGACCACATTTCGTACATCAGCATCGACCAGCAGAAGGAACATGGCAATTCAAGTAAGATTGTTCGATTGCTCGAGGTGCTGGATGATAAGTGTTCAACGTCCGAGGGCGAAGGGACCATCATCTTGGATGGCGAAAGTGGTGAAGAGATGGTCGAGAACAACAACACTGTCCCAAAGACAAAGAAACTCACCAAGAAGAAGAATAAAGGAAGACGAAGAAAGAAGAAATCCATAGTATGCGATGTGGCAGCGGGCAGTGATATCGAAGAACCATTCGAAGAAGTTGATGACGATAGTGATGATGAGGCGGAGACACAGTACGAGCCCAGCGTCGCTGAGGGAGTAATTACGTGATGTCGACCACCAGATCGAAATCGATGAACCTGAAGTTGCCGATGAATGACGAAGATGTCATCGATGTGGATGAAGAAGATGGAGGACCTCGTTTAAGCAAAAGAGGAGCTTTGAAAAGCGAGGCCAGGACGAAGGAGCATCTCCTCACCCACAGATTCAAGAACCATATTGTGAGTCTTGTGTTTGGGCTGAGATGAAACATTGGAAAACATTCCGTGGAGCATTTCAGAGACGGCTCACAAAGTTCGGAGACTTGGTAACCTTTGGCTACGTGGACAATCGTCAGGTCCATGAACAGGATTTTGGTGCCGAGAAGACCATCTTCGTGATCCGAGATAGGTATACCGGGATGATTCAGACGTACCCATCTGCCAGGAAAGATGCGGACGCTGTAATCAGGGCCGTGAAGCAGTTCATGGGTCAGAGAAAGATTCGAGAGGCCTACTCTGATCGAGCTCCGCAGTTTACCGAAGCGATGAAGGCCTTGAAGATACCAATTGATCAGTCGTTGGCAGGAAAGACGAAACACAATTCCCTAGCGGAAAGGAACAAGTTTTTCTGCTTGTGGCCACCACGACTTGCCTGTTGGAAGCGGGAATTCCACCATGTTTTTGGAGGTTTGCCATAAGTTGTGTTAGTCATCTGCTGAATGTCGAGCCCAACGACCAGGAAGTGAGTTCATGGTGCAAGCTCCATGGTGAAGAATTCAAAGGGAAGATGATTCCGTTTGGAGCATTGGTCTACTTCAAGCCGAGCGGGGCGAGGCATGTGGAACAGAAACACAAGTTCGACCCTATGGGATTTCCAGGTGTGCTTGCTGGATATGATTTGGCGCCGGGACTACATTGGTCAAAAAGGTAGCGGGTTTGGGCATTGGCCGACGGGGCAAAGCAAAACTTATCCTATGATACGAGTGCCCCTGTGCCGAAGTTGAAGACTCCACATTACACTGAGAAGGCCGAGCTGAAGGAACCATTTGAATTTCCCTGCAAAGTCAACTACGAGAAGATCAATGTGACCATCGACGGCTTGAAGGAAAAGGAACGATTGGATGGGAGCCCTGACTATCTTCCATTACCTCCTCGTGACGATGATGACGAAAACGATGATGATGATGATGATGATCATCATCATCAAGGACGAGGGATGAAGATGGGCCCTTCGAAGAGATATGGAAGAGCTTGAGATGGAAGGCGCAATGGAACCGCAAAGGCACCCAGAAGCTTCCCAGACGGCTCCCCGGGGGTCCCCCCTGGGGTTTCCAGAGGGCTGGAACCAGAGCAGCCCAACACGGCCCAGAACGGCCCCACGGTCCAAAACGGCTTAAAACGGTCCAGAACTGCACAAAAAGCCCCCAGACAGAAAGTTCCCAGAAGGTTCCCAGAAGGCTCCCAGACACTCCCCCAGACAGGTCGCAGACGGCTCCCAACCACCCGGGGTCCCAAAAAGGCTAGAATGGCTCTCAGACGGGTGCTCCTCGACAGTTCCCCGAAGGCTCCCTGCAGAAGGCTCCTATAAACGGCTCCCAGAAGGCCCAGGGTCAGGATTTGGCGCTGGCCCGTGTAAAACGATATTTTGAAACCAGCTCCGTTTTGGTGCCTGGACATTGTGCATTTTTCTGCCTGCCAAAAGGCTCCCAGACTATCTCAAGGGAAAGGCTGGTGATGGTATTGTATATCTCAACAATGATGGCGAAAGGGTCAAGATCGATAAACGAGAATGTACATATCGAATTGATGAGAAAGGGTTCAAGAAGTTCTACAACTCTCCAAGGCCTGACAAGTACACACCGAGAGAATGGTAGAGGATTCCACATGAGAGACGTAAAGAGATCATCAAGGTCCAAGAAATGGAAGCCGAAGCCGAAAGAGTAAGACGAAAAGCGGAACGAAAGGTCAAGGAAGCTGAAGACAAAAGGATAAATCAAAGAAGAAGGACGAAGACCATGATGTTGGAGTATCAATCGAACAGGATCATGTTAGATGGGGAAGATGTTCTACTATGGACAGCCCAACACTTCCTCCGGAAGTAAGGGTATTGTTGATAGTAGGGAGATTGAATCCTCCGATACTGATGTACCTGGTGATGATGACTTCCTCCTCGAGTGGGATGAGTGGTCGGAGTTCGAGAAAGGGTATGGACCGAAGGCGACCTGGACCAAGGACAAAGAATATGACTTTGATTCTGGGAAGGTGGTGACGGCCGCTCCGCGGTCATACCAACCGGGGGATACCTTGAAAGAATGTAACAGTACGGTGGGTAAAAATCAGCATGAAGCTCATCGTGAAAAGTTGAATGGGGAAACCAATGACATCAGCATCAACAAGATGTTCAATACCGCGTTTGCTGAACCTGTTGGTAGAAAGGAGATGATGGAGAATGATGATGCTCGTAATTCCATGCATAAAGAATGGCTAGGTCAACATGCCGAGGGAGTCTATGAGTTTAGTGTGGTTAGAGAGTATGATGATGTAGTAGCAGAAGGGAAGAAAATGGGAAAGGAAGTAGTACTGGGAAGTAGTTTGTGCAAGCTTTGTAGTACAAAGTAGTACTGGGAAATACTTTGTGCAAGCTTTGTAGTACAAAGTAGTACCTGGGAAGTGCTTTGCGCAAGCTTTGTAGCACACAGTAGTACTGGGAAGTAGTTTGTGCAAGCTTTGTAGTACAAAGTATTTTGTAAGACTCTTCTGTGTAAATGCATCTGTGTCTCAAGCTTTCTGACGTGCAGAAGAGCCGAGATGAGTTGAGGCTAGCTTCGGTGAGATGAGAAAGTTTGAGCTGTGCTCAGACGACATGAAAATAGCCAAGAAGAACTTAGCTGACATATGGGAAGACATGAAATGAGATGAGAAGATCTCAGATGAGATGAGTTGAAATGAAGTGCAAGTGAGAAGTGTGGAGCGTGAAATGCGAAGAATGCAATGTGAAGTGTGAGGAAAGTGTTTGCTTGACAGTTGACATCGTTGCACCGGGGTCGCGCGCAGGTCATGTTCTTGGACACAACAACAACTGTTCTTGGTGGTGTTCTTGAAGTGTGAAGTGTGGACTGTGAAGTGTGGAGTGTGAAGTGTGAAATGTGGAGTGTGAAGTGTGAAGTGTGGAGTGCGAAGAGTGCAGTGTGAAGTGTGGAGTGTGAAGTGTGTAGGTGGAGTGTGAAGGGTGCAGCGAGAAGTGTGAAGAGCTTCACATGTGACATGTGAAACAGGACACCACTTTCACAGAATGCACGCACGCACAGGCTTGGCTGGCGCACAGCGCATGCAAGTTCTATAGATGAGAAAGGTCTTATATATATATATATATATCTTTAAGGCAACTTCTGCCCCGCCTCGTGCGGGTACTACTGGTAAAAAAAACATCAAAAACCATTTAAAAAAAACATCCAAAATTCAAAAAATAGGAAAACACAAAAAAAAATAGACAAAAATCATCAAAAATGTCAAAAAAACAAAAAAAAACATAAGAAATCATAAACAAACTCATTTAAAAAAGTTTTAAAAAAAACATAAAAAAAAAAACATTTTAAAAAAAAACATAAAAAATCATATCCATTTTCACCATTTTTCAAATCATATCCTAAAAATCATAAATATTCATTAAAAAAAACATAAAAGAAAATAATCAATAGAATAATTTTTTGACCAATGTTTTGCATCTCAGCTATATGGTCAGTGATCGAGAAGCAGCTGTTCAGGCAGAGAGTCTTCCGGATGTGTGCAACAGATCGGGACAAGGTTTCGACCCTCAATGCCATCGCCCACATCCCGTAGGAATCGGGAATGAGCCTGGAGTCTTTGGAGGTGGCGACTGGGCCTCCCACGCTGTTCGAAGTATTCAGAAGCGAAGGGGATCTAACCACTACGGGACCTGAATATTGGACCGAAATGGAGGACTTGGTGAAGGAAGCCCACAACCGGTTCAAAAGAAACAGGCTGAAAAAGAAAGCATGGATCGAGGCGGAGCTTGCTCCGAGTTGACAACGAAATGCGCTGGTTTCCAGTCGATGTGTTCAGGGACACTGATATGGTTTGTGCCCAATGTCGTGATGAGCCAATCCTCGCCATGAGAATCAAAGTAGCCTCGGACACCAGCGGGATGAATCTCCCGAGGTGGGGTCAACGCGCCGACCACATTTGTGGCCAACCACACGCTGCAGCACGGAGAGAAGCTGATGAAGGCAGTATCGCACATGGGGGGAGTGAGGATCCCTGCGCATCAAGCCCGCGAAATCTTCAATTTAAAAATGGATGCGGGAAGCAGGTGATGGTCCACCGGACCGAGTTCCGAGAGCCTGCCAATGAGCGCACCGTCTATGCCTACCGGCTGACCCTGTGGAAACGTGGCCTACAAAGATTTCTTGGTGAAGGTCATCAACAGTGATGAAAAGATGAATGAAATTTTTGGACCGACGGAAGCCACCGCCGAAAAGGCCGGCGATGTCATCGAGTTTTGGCTCGGCCTACTTGACATTGCCTCAATGACAAAGGGGGCGGTGAACATTTTCGACGACGACATCAACCCGACCGAATACCTGAATTGCCTTGAAGCAGCAGTTCGTTTCTTCGGAAAGATTGCGAGGACTTCGAGAGAGCCAGGAAGTCATGTTGAGAATGAAGTACGTGGAAATGTACTCAGGCTCCCACGATACCTGACCGAAGATGAGCATACTCAGGTTCAGCCACTACTACAACGTCATCGAGTGCGATGCCCCAACCTGCGCACCTGAGGGTGAAACCACCTACGCCAACACGGGACCTTCGGTCCAGGCGCCTGGTGGAGAAGTACCTCAAAGGGAAGCTCCTGCCGAGGAGTATGTGACGTCTGGTTGGAAGAGGATATTGGACGCTCTGGGGAACTTGTACCAGGTCGCTGAGGACGAGAACATTTGTTTGTACTGCGGGGCAGTGGACTATGAGATGTACACATGCCCTGATCCCAGGGAGAGCGAAATCAAGAAGGCCCTGAAGGACCTCCGCATGACCGAAGAAAAAGGAGAAAGCGCGGGTGCTCCCATGGATGGTGGTGAGGGAGAGACTGAGGCCAAGGGAGACGCCGGAGCAGATGGCCCAGAGTCCGATGACGATGAGGACAGTGCTGATCTCTACGAGGAGCCCATCTATATATGAGTGAGGTGGGGGACCGCGATGAGTTTGGCCAATTCTGCATCGATGGCGTGGAAGTCAGAAAAGATGGTCCAACGACCCAGAATCAAATCGCCCAAGTGGTGCGCGAAGCCATCATGAAGGGAGGTGGAGATAAGTGGTCGACCTTAGATTTCTACAGCGCCTACCCGGAGACGAATTCCAGGAAGACAAGGACCTATCGGCAGATTGATTACCCGATCTTGGGAAGATTCCGCATCATCCCCACCAATGGATGCGAATTCCACCACATCAGGAATGGGTACGGTGGAGTGGCATACGGTCGCGACTACGTCCCTGAACTGACGCCCCACGAGAAGGCAGCGAGTTGGAACCTCAATGTTGGAATGAGGCATCACGTGGGGAAGAGTAGCAGGAACCAAGGATATGGTTTGAAATGCGACGATGCGGGATGGGTGGACCTTGATGAAGTCTTGAAGTACTCATTTTTTTGGGCCCATCCAAACATCCAAGAGCCGGTCCTGCTCTGGACACGGAACAATGGCGAAGGGGCCATGGACCTCAACGAAGCCAGCAGAAGGATGAGGTCGTTGTTCAAGATCATGCATCACAGTGTGGTGGACGGGAAGTCCGTGCCCAGATGTTGGCATTTGTGGCAACACAAGAGACACCCAAGACGACAAGCTTCGGCAGAGAGCGTGGCATCAATGAGAACATGCACATCCCACCAGAAGGACTTCACACCAACTTACCGCAGGAGTGGTAACGATGATGCCGTCGTGCTTCCATGAGACGTCCAGAGAGAAATGGGAATCTTCGAAAGGGGCCCGGTGCGCGGAGGAGGATCTGGAAGGCTGGTCACCTATTTCAACGCGTTTGCACCTTGGGATGAGCGATCCTGGAAATTGGCGAAAGGGTACCAGAAACAAAGGTGAAAAGGCCGTGTTTTATTTGCCATCTGAAACCCTGATGGACCAATTTGAACGCCGAATCACAGACTCCGGCCAACCAGTGACCGATCAGGTGATCCCCTTTGGAAGTTTGAGGGGGGCCTGGGTGCAAGACAGCGCCAAGAAGTGGCACCGCCTTATTGTGCCTTCTGGCCTAGAGCAACTTGTGAAGTCCATCCACAGACCTTGGAGATACGCCGGACGAGACCAAGCCTTGAGGGAGGCACGGTTGGGTGCTTGGCGTTGAGGATTCCACAAAGCACGGGCAAAAGGGGCCCAGAAATGCGACCAGAAGCCGAGAAGCCGAGAAGCCGAGAAGCCCGACACAAGCCGAGAAGCCGAGAAGCCGAGAAGCCGCGAAGCCGCGAAGTACGACAGAAGCCGAGAAGCCGAGAAGCCGAGAAGCCACCTGACAAGCCGAGAAGCCGAGAACGAGAAGCCGCGAAGCCACCGGACAAGCCGAGAAGCCGCGAAGCCGAGGAGCCGCCGGGCAAGCCAAGAAGCCGAGAAGCCGCGAAGCCGAGGAGCCGCCGGGCAGAAGAGAAGCCGAGAAGCCACCGGAGCCGCCGGGCAAGCCGAGAAGCCGAGAAGCCACCGGACAAGCCGAGAAGCCACCGGACAAGCTGAGACAGTAGCCCTGGCACCCCCTCTGAACACTATGTTGCATCTTCACCATCACAAGACATCAACTCCCCAACCCCCTCTGAACAATACGTTGCACCTTGAGACATCAGCCCCGTCACCTCCTTTTAATATATATGTTGCATCTTCGAAGATCAACCCAGCGACCCCCTCTGAACACTACCTCGCCCCGTTAAACTTCTACATTCATCGAAGATCTTCAATAAGGGTTTAATTCTTTCAGCCCCGTTAAACTTCTACATTCATCGAAGATCTTCAATGAGGGTCTAATTCTCCCAGCCCCGTTAAACTTCTACATTCATTGAAGATCTTCAATAAGGGTTTAATTCTCCCACCCCCGTTAAACTTCTACATTCATTCACGATCTTCAATGAGGGTTTAATTCTCCCCAGCCCCGTTAAACTTCTACATTCATTCACGATCTTCAATGAGGGTTTAATTCTCCCCAGAACCGTTAAACTTCTACATTCATTGACGATCTTCAATGAGGGTTTAATTCTCCCCAGCCCCGTTAAACTTCTACATTCATTGGCGATCTTCAATGAGGGTTTAATTCTCCCAGCCCCGTTAAACTTCTACATTCATTGAAGATCTCCAATGAAGGTTTAATTCTCCCAGCCCCATTAAACTTCTACATTCATTGACGATCTTCAATGAGGGTTTTATTCTCCCCAGCCCCGTTAAACTTCTACATTCATCGAAGATCTTCAATGAGGGTTTAATTCTCCCAGCCCCGTTAAACTTCTACATTCATTGAAGATCTTCAATAAAGGTTTAATTCTCCCAGCCCCGTTAAACTTCTACATTCATTCACGATCTTCAATGAGGGTTTAATTCTCCCCAGCCCCGTTAAACTTCTACATTCATTGAAGATCTCCAATGAGGGTTTAATTCTCCCAGCCCCGTTAAACTTCTACATTCATTGACGATCTTCAATGAGGGTTTAATTCTCCCCAGCCCGGTTAAACTTCTACATTCTTTGAAGATCTTCAATGAGGGTTTTATTCTCCCACCCCCGTTAAACTTCTACATTCATTGACGATCTGCAATGAGGGTTTAATTCTCCCCAGCCCCGTTAAACTTCTACATTCATTGAAGATCTTCAATGAGGGTTTAATTCTCCCCAGCCCCGTTAAACTTCTACATTCATTGGCGATCTTCAATGAGGGTTTAATTCTCCCAGCCCCGTTAAACTTCTACATTCATCGAAGATCTTCAATGAGGGTTTAATTCTCCCAGCCCCGTTAAACTTCTACATTCATTGAAGATCTTCAATAAAGGTTTAATTCTCCCAGCCCCGTTAAACTTCTACATTCATCGAAGATCTTCAATAAAGGTTTAATTCTCCCCAGCCCCGTTAAACTTCTACATTCATTGAAGATCTTCAATAAAGGTTTAATTATCCCAGCCCCGTTAAACTTCTACATTCATTGAAGATCTTCAATGAGGGTTTAATTCCCCCACCCCCGTTAAACTTCTACATTCATTCACGATCTTCAATGAGGGCTTAATTCTCCCCAGCCCCGTTAAACTTCTACATTCATTCACGATCTTCAAAGAGGGTTTAATTCTCCCCAGCCCCGTTAAACTTCTACATTCATTGGCGATCTTCAATGAGGGTTTAATTCTCCCAGCCCCATTAAACTTCTACATTCATTGAAGATCCAATGAAGGTTTAATTCTCCCAGCCCCGTTAAACTTCTTCTACATTCATTGACGATCTTCAATGAGGGTTTAGTTCTCCCCAGCCCCGTTAAACTTCTACATTCATTGACGATCTTCAATGAGGGTTTAATTCTCCCAGCCCCGTTAAACTTCTATATTCATTGACGATCTTCAATGAGGGTTTAATTTAAGGGGCTACGCCCCCCCTGCCGCCGACCCCTGGTCTAGGCCTCATCGCGAGAACAAAGGTTTAGTGCATATTTTCATTCTGACCCAGCGGTGTCCGAAGCGGATCTGCACGCGCTTTCTGGGGCCTTGGCCTTCGGGGGTACGGAGACCCTGGGCGCTGGTGCGTTCCGGGGGATCAGCAGATCAGCTTCGGAGGTCGCAGGGTTGGAAAGGGAGGAGGAGAACAACAACAGCAGCAGCACCACCACCACCAACAACAACAGCAACAACAACCAGCAACAGCAACAACAACAACAGCAACAGCAACAGCGACAACAACAACAACAACAACAACAACCACAACCACAACCACAACAACAACAACAACAACAGCAACAGCAACAGCAACAAGAACAAGAACAACAACAAGAACAACAACAAGAGCAACAACAACAAGAACAACAACAACAACAACAATAACAACAACAACAACAACAACAACAACAACAACAAGAACAAGAACAAGAACAAGAACAACAACAACAACAACAACAACAACAACAACAACAACAACAACAACAAGAACAAGAACAAGAACAAGAACAAGAACAACAACTAGCGCGAGCAGGCCATTGTAGAGGACGTCCGACGCGAAATAGCGGCAATAACCGAACGGAGGGCAAAGACGAGCGCGCAGGCAACACTTGGCGCGACGGGGTTACCGGAGAAGGCGCGCAAGGTCGCTGCGGCCGCAAACACAGGTCGCGAAGGGCTCGCGCGAGCAGCAAGTGGCGCGGGCGCCACGCACGAGTTGCCTCCCGCGTGCGGTCCCCAAGAGAACACGGACGACACATTCCACTACACGTGCCCGTTTTGTGAGGCTGCCGTCAGCAGCATTGTGCGTTCTGGTCAAGTAAATCACCGCAGGCATTGCGGCAACCGATTTCAAGTCAAAGATGGATGCGTCGTGACAAAGACGATGGTGTACCAGTGCCCGTTTTGCGATGGCAAAGTGAGCAGCAACGTGGTGACTGGGAAAATCAACCATCGCAGCGTGTGCGGCAGCCAGTTCTATGTAAAGACAGGCAAAGTCAGCGAGGCAATGCGAAAACATATGCACATATGCCCGCGGTGCCAAGCGGCCGTGTGGTCAGCTTGCGCGTCAGGGCGAATCCGCGTGCAGCACAACACACCAGCGGGACGCCCGTGCGCAAACAAGAGCTGGACGAGCGAGGAAAAGAAAGAAGCATAGGCTAGGACATGCTGCTGGGCCGTCAAGGGCGCCGGGAAGGGTTGAAGGGCAGCCTAGGGCGCCGGAGAGGGTTTAAGGGCAGCCTAGGGCGCCGGGGAGAGTGCCTAACGTTGCTTTCTGAAACCAGGAGAAAATTTCAAGGAAAGCGCCCGGCAGGTGGCCAAAGGACCTGCTGCTGGCCCGCCAAGAGCGCCGGGAAGGGGTTTGAAGGGCAGCCTAGGGCGCCGGGGAGCGTTTAAGGCCAGCCTAGTGCCTAACGTTGCTTTCTGAAACCAGGAGAAAATTTCACGGAAAGCGCCCGGCAGGTGGCCAAAGGACCTGCTGCTGAGCCGCCAAGAGCGCCGGGAAGCGGTTTACGCGCAGCCTAGGGCGCCGGGGAGCGTTTAATGCCAGCCTAGTGCCTAACGTTGCTTTCTGAAACCAGGAGAAAATTTCAAGGAAAGCGCCCGGCAGGTGGCCAAATGCTGCTGGGCCGCCAAGAGCGCCGGGAAGGGTTGAAGGGCAGCATAAGGCGCCGGGGAGCGTTTAAGGCCAGCCTAGTGCCTAACGTTGCTTTCTGAAACCGGAAAAAAATTTTAAGGAAAGCGCCCGGCAGGTGGCCAAAGGACCTGCTGCTGGGCCGCCAAGAGCGCCGGGAAGGGTTGAAGGGCAGCATAAGGCGCCGGGGAGCGTTTAAGGCCAGCCTAGTGCCTAACGTTGCTTTCTGAAACCAGGAGAAAATTTCAAGGAAAGCGCCCGGCAGGTGGCCAAATGACTTGCGGCTGGACCGCCAAAAGCGCCGGGAAGGGGTTTAAGGGCAGCCTAGGGCGCCGGGGAGCGTTTAAGGCCAGCCTAGTGCCTAACGTTGCTTTCTGAAACTAGGAGAAAATTTCAAACAAAGCGCCCGGCAGGTGGCCAAAGGACCTGCGGCTAGGCCACGGGGTTTAAGGGCAGCCTAGGGCGCCGGGGAGCGTTTAAGGCCAGCCTAGTGCCTAACGAAAATTTCAAACAAAGCGCCCGGCAGGTGGCCAAAGGACCTGCTGCTGGGCCGCCAGAGCGCCGGGAAGGGCTTTAAGGGCAGCCTAGGGCGCCGGGGAGCGTTTAAGGCCAGCCTAGTGCCTAACGTTGCTTTCTGAAGCCAGGAGAAAATTTCAAGGAAAGCGCCCGGCAGGTGGCCAAATGACTTGCGGCTGGGCCGCCAAGAGCGCCGGGGAGGGGTTTAAGGGCAGCCGCCTAGGGTGCCGGGGAGCGTTTAAGGCCAGCCTAGTGCCTAACGTCGCTTTCTGAAACCAGGAGAAAATTTCACGGAAAGCGCGGGGGAGGGATTTAAGGGCAGCCTAGGACGCCGGGAAGCGTTTAAGGCCAGCCTAGTGCCGTTGCTTTCTGAAACCAGGAGAAAATCTCAAGGAAAGCGCCCGGCAGTGGCCAAAGGACCTGCTGCTGCAGCCTAGGGCGCCGGGGAGCGTTTAAGGCCAGCCTAGTGCCTAACGTGGCTTTCTGAAACCAGGAGAAAATTTCAAGGAAAGCGCCCGGCAGGTGGCTAAATGCTGCTGGCCCGCCAAGAGCGCCGGGAAGGGTTTAAGGGCAGCATAAGGCGCCGGGGAGCGTTTAAGGCCAGCCTAGTGCCTAACGTTGCTTTCTGAAACTAGGAGAAAATTTCAAACAAAGCGCCCGGCAGGTGGCCAAAGGACCTGCGGCTGGCAAGAGCGCCGGGGAAGGGTTTAAGGGCAGCCTAGGGCGCCGGGGAGCGTTTAAGGCCAGCCTAGTACCTAACGTTGCTTTCTGAAACTATGAGAAAATTTCAAACAAAGCGCCCGGCAGGTGGCCAAAGGACCTGCTGCTGGGCCACCAAGCGCGCCGGGAAGGTTGAAGGGCAGCCTAGGGCGCCGGGAGCGTTTAAGGCCAGCCTAGTGCCTAACGTTGCTTTCTGAAACCAGGAGAAAATTTCAAGGAAAGCGCCCGGCAGGGCCATGGAGGGGTTTAAGGGCAGCCTAGGGCGCCGGGGAGCGTTTAAGGCCAGCCTAGTGCCTAACGTTGCTTTCTGGATTCTGAAACCAGGAGAAAATTTCAAACAAAGCGCCCGGCAGGTGGCCAAAGGACCTGCTGCTGGGCCGCCAAGAGCGCTGGGAAGGGGTTTAAGGGCAGCCTAGGGAAACGAGGAGAAAATTTCAAGGAAAGCGCCCGGCAGGTGGCCAAAGAACTTGCGGCTGGCAAGAGCGCCGGGGAAGGGTTTAAGGGCAGCCTAGGGCGCCGGGGAGCGTTTAAGGCCAGCCTAGATCAGCCTAGTACCTAACGTTGCTTTCTGAAACCAGGAGAAAATTTCAAGGAAAGCGCCCGGCAGGTGGCCAAAGGACCTGCTGCTGGGCCGCCAAGAGCGCCGGGGAGGGGTTTAAGGGCAGCCTAGGGCGCCGGGGAGCGTTTAAGGCCAGCCTAGTGCCTAACGTCGCTTTCTGAAACCAGGAGAAAATTTCACGGAAAGCGCCCAGCAGGGCCGGGGAAAGGTTTAAGGGCAGCCTAGGGCGCCGGGGAGCGTTTAAGGCCAGCCTAGTGCCTAACGTTGGCTTTCTGAAACCAGGAGAAAATTTCAAGGAAAGCGCCCGGCAGGTGGCCAAATGCTGCTGGGCCGCCAAGAGCGCCGGGAAGGTTGAAGGGCAGCATAAGGCGCCGGGGAGCGTTTAAGGCCAGCCTAGTGCCTAACGTTGCTTTCTGAAACCAGGAGAAAATTTCAAGGAAAGCGCCCGGCAGGTGGCCAAAGGACTGCGGCTGGGCCGCCAGGTGGCCAAAGGACCTGCGGCTCGGCCGCCAAGAGCGCCGGGGAGGGGTTTAAGGGCAGCCTAGGGCGCCGGGGAGCGTTTAAGGCCAGCCTAGTGCCTAACGTCGCTTTCTGAAAAAACAAGGCGCCCGGCAGGTGGCCAAAGGACCTGCTGCTGGGCCGCCAAGAGCGCCGGGAAGGGCTTTAAGGGCAGCCTAGGGCGCCGGGGAGCGTTTAAGGCCAGCCTAGTGCCTAACGTTGCTTTCTGAAACCAGGAGAGGGTTTCAAGGAAAGCGCCCGGCAGGTGGCCAAAGGACCTGCTGCTGGGCCGCCAAGGGCGCCGGGAAAGGTTTAAGGCCAGGCTAGTGCCTAACGTCGGTTTCTGAAACCAAAAGAAAATCTCAAGGAAAGCGCCCGGCAGTGGCCAAAGGACATGCTGCTGGGCCGCCAAGGGCGCCGGGGAGGGTTTAAGGCCAGGCTAGTGCCTAACGTCGCTTTCTGAAACCAAGAGAAAATCTCAGGGAAAGCGCCCGGCAGTGGCCAAAAGCCATGCTGCTGGGCCGCCAAGGGCGCCGAGGAGGGTTTAAGGCCAGGCTAGTGCCTAACGTCGCTTTCTGAAACCAAGAGAAAATTTCAAGGACAAACGTCGCTTTCTGAAACCACGAGAAAATCTCAGGGAAAGCGCCCGGCAGTGGCCAAAGGAGCTGCTGGGCCGTCTGAAGCCAGGAGAAAATCGCCTGGAAAGCGCCCGACAGAGGGCTTAACGTTGAATAGGGGACGGCGTAACGTTCAATTGCATAGGGCTTAACGCCACTTTTTCTCGGGCGCGCTCCCCCTTGCTGATGGCAGGGGTCGGCGGATTCTCCCCAGCCCCGTTAAACTTCTACATTCATTGAAGATCTTCAATGAGGGTTTGATTCCTCCCAGCCCCGTTAAACTTCTACATTTATCGAAGATCTTTAATAAGGGTTTAATTCTCACCACCCCGTTAAACTTCTATACATTCATTGACGATCTTCAATGAGGGTTTAATTCTTCCAGCCCGGTTAAACTGCTACATTCATTGACGATCTTCAATGAGGGCTTAATTCTCCCCAGCCCCGTTAAACTTCTACATTCATGGAAGATCTTCAATGAGGGTTTAATCCTCCCAGCACGGTTAAACTTCTACATTCATTGACGATCTTCAATAAGGGTTTAATTATCCCAGCACCGTTAATTAAACTTCTACATTCATTGACGATCTTCAATGAGGGTTTAATTCTGATCATGATGATGATGGTGCTGATGATGATGATGATGATGATGATGATGATGATGATGCGTCGCCTGTCGTCATTGCGGATCCGGGCAAAACCCAGGCATTTGCCGTGTATATATATATTATAAAGCAACATTTTCTGGTTTCCAGAGTTTGCAGCCAAGATGCTGCAATTCAGTTCGTTTTTTGCGTGTTCGGTACATTCAAAAAGCAAGAAAGATAATTTTGACCCTTCAATGTTTTGAGGAGGGTGCCAATGGCCACTAGATTTGGACAATGTATGCAGCCACTCTTATGTCTCCTGTGCCAATCTAAGATTAAAAAGCTAAAGCCCAAATGCCTGCTCCTCCACATTCATGTGCTGATGACTTCTCCTTTTCTACAGTGATACACGGCGAGTTGATTTAAAGACAAAATTAAATAAACCCTCCTTCTATATATTGCGCGCGGCAACTGAAACCCAAGACTTACAGAAACTTCACGCAGGCTTAGCCCAGTTACTCATGCATTACGCATTCAAAAGCTTGCAATCACCACATGCATACCCAGCTGGCAACTGAAGATGGAAACATCGTTCGATCACTGCAATCCCTGATGCAAGGCATTGCATCATGTGCTATATACATCTAGCGTGTCGCGCCGCGAAGCAACGCCGTGTGCACTCTTGCAAAAGGAAGCGTCGCAGCGCCAACAGCGTCGCAGCGTCGCTCCCGCGTCGCAGCGTCGCAGCGCCTACAGTGTCGCAGCGTGGATCCCGCGTGGCAGCGTCGCAGCGCCAACAGCGTCGCAGCGTCGCAGCGCCAACAGCGTCGCAGCGTCACTCCCGCAGCGTCGCAGCGCCAACAGCGTCGCAGCGCCAACAGCGTCGCAGCGTCACTGGCCCAACGGCAGCGTCGCAGCGTCACAGCGTCGCCGGCCCCTGGCAGCGTCGCAGCGTCGCAGCGTCGCAGCGCCACCCGCCTTCAGAGCGTCGAAGCGTCGCAGCGTCGCAGCGCCACCCGCCTCTCCGGGAGCGTCACAGCGCAACGTCGGAAACCCAAGTTTTGGCCCCCTTTGCCCCTGCACTGGGATTCCAAGGCCGCGGAGATCAGTGAGATCATTCTGGGCGGCGAGGAGCAGAGATCAAATCATCTCAAGCTCCTCAATTTCGTCAGCTGGGTGCATCATTTGCCCGGCATGCCCCAGGGATGGAGGTGAAAGCCGATGATGAAAGCGAAGCTTCTGAAAATGCGGCGGAGGAGGCGATCAGAAAGAGGGAGGAGGACAGACAGGAAGAGCTGCGGCTTGCAATGGAACAGTTCCCTCTATGGGCACGACCTCTGAAGATCGGTTGCAAGCAAGTTCTGGAGCTCGGACTGATCAATGTCGATCCTGATCAACATCGGCAACACCATGATGAATATCATCTGGAGGAACTACCCTGATTTCTGGGAGAACCGTGCCGTTCAGGCACCAGATACGAACACGGCCGAATCGACATACAATCAAGACACCGGTGGCGTGTTGAACCCACCAACTGAAGGACAAATTAGAGCGTGGTGGGAAGCGAGGGCCAGGCCGGAAAAGGTGCGACCTCAAAACACGACCTGAGCCGGCCGTGAACTCGAGTCTATGCCAATGATCATCCGGACCGTGATGAAGATTGAGAAGATGATGGAGTTCATGGTGGAAGCAGGACTCTCACCTCAGGACATTCAGAATCTGACGCCTACGGCCGAGGATCGATTGCACCACAACAGGAGGGTGAGGATGTGGGGAATAATCCAAAACTTCCTATAGATACATGGTGTCCTGAAGGGAGCCTTCCCGGAGAAGGAGAACTACGCATACTTTCGTGATGAAGAAGAATGCCAGCATACGGGAGAGAGACCTTGTCCCTGCCTGCATTGGGCGTGATCTTGGTTCAACGTGAACGCCAGCGCAATATCGAGATGTCCATGGAGGCAACGCACTGTGGAGTTACGCTCACCAAGGAAATGCAGGAACGCATGGAATATGCGTGGGCACTGGCCAAGACCAAGGAAGAGAAGGGGCAGAAAGGGCTCATCGACATGATGCTTCCTCGTATGAATCAAGAGCAGTGAGAGACGATGCGACGAGAGCGTGGCACTACGGCATCAGCAGCTGCTGCAGTGGAAGATCATTTGGAATCCACTTCCCGAGCATCTTCAAGCAAGAACCCACCAAGACCATCATCAGCATCAGACGTTAGCAAGACAAAGAAGCAGAAGAAGTAGAATGGTGAAGGAACACTTCTCGTGGTTCCTCCCGACAGTGGTCCGGATCCAGAGAATACTTCCTCTTTTCTACTTGACTGCAAATCTCTTTGCGATGACCATTGTGGATGACATCTTGGTGAAGACCAATTTTTGAAAGGAATCTGAGCAAGGCATTTTCTTAATCCCAATTGCCGGAATGGGATTCGTAGTGTCTCACCTCTCGTACTAGTGAATTGCAATTCGATAATCTTAATTCATTTCTTTTGTTTGCGACTGGTCTCATAGCGTGTACAGAGACAAAGGGAGCGGTAGTGTTCCTTCTGGAAGAGCCTAACCGAGCACACGCTCCGCGTGGAAGGTAAAGGCAATTCCTGATTTCTTTTGTAGCTCGGTATGCGGTTGTGTACATAGGCTAAAACGCAATTTTTTCAACGACCATCCCATTCTCCTGTGGCCGACTTCTAACAATCCGTCGGCCATGGGGGGTGCAAAGGATGCAGGCGACAGTCAGGTTTGCATGAGTGTAAATAACATGCTGACGCACAATGGTCAAGCCCGCCAATCGATAGATAGACAAAAGAGAGTTCGCAGCTTCCGTTGTTGCATGCTGTTGAGCAAGGGCTTGTTCATTGACTACAGTAGCACGATGCCAAGTGGAAACAGAAGCTAACACAGCACACCCGGAACAGGGGTCTACCTGTTTATATGTACAATGTTTAAGCTAATGCCGGCGTTACCATCATGGAGGAAAACAGTGTTTTTTGCATATTCCAAGGTCACTTCATGTTCTGTTTTGCACTCAACATACATACGTCATGCTACGTCTGAGGCGGGGTGGGGTGGGGTAATAACGTCCTGGTACCCCAAGGTCATGTTCTATTGCACTCCTTATACATGCGTCATGGTACGTCCGGGGTGGGGTGGGGTAATAACGTCCTGGTACTCCAACGTCATGTTCTATTGCATTCCACAGACATGCGTCATGGTACGTCTGGGGTGGGGTGGGGTAATAACGTTCTGGTTCTCCAACATCATGCATGTTCTACTGCACTCCACATACATGCGTCATGGTACGTCTGGGGTGGGGTGCGGTAACAACGTTCTGCAGGGTACTCCAAAGTCATGTGCTATTGCACTCCCCATACATGCGTCATGGTACGTCCGGGGTGGGGTGCGGTAATAACGTTCTGGTACTCCAAGGTCATGTGCTATTGCACTCCACATACGTGCGTCATGGTACGTCTGGGGTGGGGTGCGGTAATAACGTTCTGGTACTCAACGTCATGTTCTATTGCACTCCGCATATATGCCTCATGGTGCGTCTGGGGTGGGGTGCGGTAATAACGTTCTGGTACTCCAAAGTCATGTGCTATTGCACTCCACATACATGCCTCATGGTACGTCTGGGGTGGGTTGCGGTAATAACGTTCTGGTACTCCAAGGTCATGTGCTATTGCACTCCACATACGTGTGTCATGGTACGTCTGGGGTGGGGTGTGGTAATAACGTTCTGGTTCTCCAACGTCATTTTCTATTGCATTCCGCATATATGCCTCATGGTGCGTCTGGGGTGGTGTGGGGTACTTAACATACTTAACTGTGTGCGACACTGCATCATGTTCTCTTGTGTTTCACATATTCATCATATGTGCTACTCTGCATCATGATCTCTTGTACTTAACATATTTACCATATCTGCTACGCTACATCACGTTCTCCTGTACCTAACATACTTTACAATGTGCTACGCTGCGAAAATTTTCTCTGGTACTTGACATACTTAACATAATAAACAGTAATGACGGCGTTGCCTTGCTTATATGTGCTTTGTGGCCCATTGCTTTCCCAGTTCTCAGCTGAGGTCATTTCAGAAACATTTTCGGAGCCCGACAAGGTAATGTATCATCTTTACAATGCCCTGCTGGGGGGGCTGGAGCAGTACCGATTCTTCGAATGGAATTCCTTGGAGCTGGGTGGGCCATTGATGACTTGGGTTTACCTCATCGTGTTTTTCGCCAGTCTCATGTTGGTTGTGTCCATTGCAGGCCTCGTCTTGCTGCTCGGCTCATGCCGCCACCAAAAAAGTTTGCAGATGTTTGCAGTTTGCGGGTTGGCCTATGTTGGCCCTTTTGCGTGATGTTTCCAACTTTCACAGCACCACCACCACCACCACCACCACAAACCAATTTCACCATGGAAATCGAGGCCCCAGAAACTGATTGAAGGTCCACGAGCCCACCCAGGTATCGTAGACACCCTGCGGAAATCCATGGCATATGGTTTTCTCGGCTGAGGATGTTGATGACCTGCGGGGCGGCCTGCCGCTGCCGCCGTCGCTCTGAGCCAGCTGTCGCTTTCATCCAATCGCCGCAGGCGTTGGGATCCCCGGGCGTCGAGCTGGACAGCGTGGTCGGCCGCAGCTTAGCTTTCATCGAGATCGATATCCCTACGGAGGAGTCTCTTGGAATGTTGGAACATGATTGTCGGATATTGTCGGAACATGATTAGGAGCAATTCGGCACATCAATGATTAACATGTGACACCTGCATCTTCAAAATGATGTTAATAAATGTTTGCCTTTTGCTCGATAAGTGGGTTTTCCGACAGAACGACCTTTGTTTGGGCGGAACAGCGTTTTTTGAGAGTTTCCAAATAATTCCAAATATGTGTATATATATATATACATATTTACTAATTTGCTATATGATTTTGCAACGGCGACATTGCCCGACCAAACTCGACATTACTTGACCACATGGAGAAACATTTTTTGCAACGGTGTTTTTTTGCATTTTTTTACAAGAATGACTATTTTTTTGCCGCTTGGAGTAACGGTGGAAAAGTACCACATTGCAGATGTATAGGTACAACAAAATATGAACATTATGGTTGGGATTGCGGGTAACATAGCTAAACAATAAACATTGCGCAGGTGGATTCAAGAAGAGAATCAGCATAGTGCATGCTCACGTGACAATCACACTTCAAGGTTCCATTTCCAATGTCACCGAGAGTCATTCATTTGTGGTAATTTAATTGCGTCGACACGTGTCAGCTCAGGTTGAAACCGAAGCCACACATGACAAGGTCAACAACAAAACCCCAGATAGTACAGTCGTAGCATTGCCGCAGTTGCCGCTGTACAGTCTCTCAGTGCTGTTTACCACATCTTACCACCTTTCAGGCTGTCCCCGAAGGGGTCGCCTCTACGGCTTGCGACTTTACGAGTTTACGAACGACGAATTCCTGGAAGAACACGTTGAAACAGCGAAGGCCTTGAAGTACAATGAAATCCTGCTTAGTTTCATGCAAAATGTTCAAGGTTTTAGATGGTTTTAGATACTTTAGATGATCTACAACAATCCTAATTGTTTCTTCCAGGTTTCCGGGTGTTCTCTGCAATTCATCCGACTCCGCGCCAAGGGGGCTGCTGGAGGAAAAAAGGACAAAAGGAAAAGTTGCCCTCCCATAAGACACGATGCTGACTTGTTGCACTCGTGGCAATGACCCCAGGAGTGATGCTGTTGGCATGCGATTGGCATGCGGTTGGCATGCGATTGGCGTTGTTTGTGGTGGCTCAAAGGAACAACATGATATCAACACGTGTGTTCAGATGTGTTAAGTGTGTGGCAAAGTGCAAAATCTGCTCTGCAGAACAAACACCTTGGCCGCCTTGGCCCTTGGTTCAGTGAGATGCACGTCCAGTGCACGTCCAGTGGGCTCCGGCAGCACAAGCGCACAAGCAATGCCGGAGAGGGCTGAGATGGGCTGAGTAGGCGATATTAGACGAGTTTGTGCCCTGTGTTTTGCGGGAAACCTATGTTTTCTATGTTTTCTATGTTTCAATGTTTATTTTTCCAATTGACCGAACAATTAGCCGTGTGGTTCAGGCAATTCGCGATAGAAGTAGTAGTAGTAGTTCCCTCCCTAACAATGGCGTCTATCGATGGTCCTCGGCAATGGGGACCAAAGAGAAGCCCTGATTCTCGCTCAACACAAAACACCCCAGTTCAGATCAAAAAAGGGCGTAGCCAAGAAAGAGAAACCAAAGAAGAAGATATGCCACCACAAGAGCTGGATGTTGCTTTGACCGCATCTCTTACCACTAACATTGAACGGAAAATTCATGACATTGTGGAAGACATTCGCGACCTCAAGGACCAAATGAAAGCTTCTCAGCACCAGCTAGCATACTTGCTCTACCAGGAAGCAGACAAACAACGATCCGAAGCAGCAAGCAAAATTATGGTGAAAAACTGGTGGCAGTTCAATGAAACCGAAGAACACTACGGGTTACTTTGCGACCACCGTGAAAACATGATCAAATGGGCAGCAAAAGAATTGGGCATCAGCAACAGAGACATTGAGAAGTTCCACTTCGATCACAGGCGCGGAAAAAGCATCTCCCCCTTCACCATGGTGAATGTCGGCAACCACTACACGAAACTCAGGATGATGGATTGGTTCAACGAAACTTTTGACAAGAAAGGCTGGCAAGAATGGACAAATGACAAGTTGAGCACACTCCCCAATGGCAACAACAAACCGGAAGTGAACGGCATGATCAAGTTCGAACCTTGCATCGCAGGTTTTGATAGGATGCAAACAGAGCCACTCAAAGCCATCATGGCAGTGATCACGAAACTTGCCCCAGACCTCAAATGGAAGCACTCATGGAAGCACCTCACCTTGCAAGATCCTCAAAGCAATGAGTACCTGGCATGGCTAGCTCTCGACCACCTAGAAGGGATCGCCAAGATTTACGTGGACCAAAAGTACTTCACAGCGAGGTTGTTTGAAGATGAGTTTCGCGCCGCATTTGGCAACATCATGTCAAAGAAGACCGTTGGGAACAAGGGCAAAGGCAAGAAAGGTGGAGAAGGAGTACTGACACCCGATGACTTCCTGAAGGCAGTAGGTTTAGGCTCAGAAGGAAAAGGCTCATACTTCAGGATTTCCACCCTCTCTTTGAAAACTAAGGTGCCTTTTGTTTTTGAAGTCAGGTCCATAGATCAGTCTGTTTTTACCACTAAATACGAAGAACACCTCAACAGGATTGCGAAACGCATCCTGCAACCTGACATGATCCTGTAGGGACATTGCCTTCCAGCACGCGCACGGGAAAATGTAAAAGAAATACAGTGCGCTCCGGAGAATCAGCACAACACGCAAGAACGCAAGCAACAGAATGGGATATATAGATTGAAACGGGATAAATACTTGCATCACCGAATGACTCGTCACCAAATGAATCGTCACCGAATGTCGGCTGAGTCGAGCAACTCTTTGGCTTACTCGGCTCTGCCTGATAGGATTTTTTGGGAACGGAAGACTGATTCTCACAAATTTTCTCGCGAATTGTTTTGCTCCCAAACCTTTGGTACGGCGGGAGACGCGCCCACCTTTCGAGGACCGGAGCGTGAACCAACAGAGCTATGAACCCCACCCTCACTCAAAACGCAGACATCGTCGCGGAAAAAGATCCTTACTACAAAAGTTAATTCACACCTGCAACAGGCATCAGAAACGGTCCGAAAACAGAAGAGAATTCAGAAGAGTGAGGTCGTGCTGGAAGGCTTTAGCCAGGCTTCCAGCTAAACTCTCTTGGCTCAAGAACGAATCTTAGCCGAAACCCAGTCTATTGAATCTTCGAATGCCGTTTTGCAAAGCGGTGACACACAGGAGAACGAACCAAATAATCCCCCTCAAAACACTTCCCCCCGCAAATTTTTGGGAAAACGACTTCGCCTGGGGGTTTTCAATGTCCGTGGGATGAATTTCATTACAGCACGACAGCAGATCATTTACCTCATGGACAAATACAGTATTGACATTCTGGCTTTACTAGAAACTCACCTAAATTACACGGGCAAAGAAATGTATGATAATTTTACTTTCTATTTTTCGAGTTCAGTAGAAGACGACTGCAGGAAACAAACAGAAGACGCACTTGAAGAATTCAACAAACGTGTGAAGAGGGAACAAATTGCGTTTGAAGTAGCTCAAGCGGAAAGAATGCGCATAAGACAGCGCAGTGCGGAAAAACTTGGTTGTGTGTTTGTAGTTCGCAAACGGGCAGGCTTGGATATCGATGTAAGTGCTATTGATAATAAAAATATGGCTTTGAGAGTCAATACATCACCAATCGCGATCAACATTGCTGCAACGCACGCTCCACATGCAGGACATAACACACAACAGAAAGCTAAACACTACGAAACGCTCAGACACCAAGTTTCCAAATGGAAACAACATGAAATCAACATCATTCTTTGCGATTTCAATGCTAGACTCATGGAACAATTGCCAGAGGAAAGACATGTCATAGGAAAGCACATTTACAGACACTTTTCCTCCTCAATTGATGATTTGAGCGAGGCACAGCGAGAAAATAGACAACTCTTCACTGATTTTTGTATGTCACAAAGAATGGTTCCCATGATCACTTGGTTTGAGAAAGCTACCCCACTCTTAGCCACTTATCGTGATACTTCTACCAGTCATTTTCAGCTTGGTTGGGTCAACACACCGACGCATGGCCAGCTGGAATATGTTCTTGTCAGTGATACATGGAGAAATGCTTGTAAAGACACACGTTGCATTCATGAAACGTTGCTTGATTCTGATCATGCACTCATTTTAGCAGACATGCATGTCCGGTTTGCTGCAAAACATAAACGTCAAACAGGAAAGACGATGACACCAAGATGTAGATTGCCATCTGAAGACGAAAGACAGCAGTATAACAATCTGGTCCAGCAAAACATACTAAGTGCTAAGCAACAAGGTTCATGGAATGTGGTGGAAGGGTTTGAGCATTTAGCGGGGATTCTCATAGATGCTGCTTGTGCAATACCAAGAATTTCTCCGCGACAAAAGAAACATTATTTATCAGAACAAACTTGGCAAAAAATTGAAGAAAAACCAGTTGCGATTAGTGCTGGTCATTGGAACACGGCCAAGCAACTTACTGTGGACATACGGAAGCTGGCTCGACAAGACAAAGAACGAGCCTTGATTGAGGAATTGGAACGCATTGATAGCGATGGCTACCAATGGGACGGTTTGAACAGAAGTAGAAAACCTTTCCAGCCTAATAGGTTCAAATTTAAGAATAAGCACGGGGAATTTATCAGTGAACAAGATTTTGCAGAAACAGCGGCTGAGTACTTTGCTGATGTTCAATGGGCACTTCCTGAAGATAACCAAGTTGACCCCCCAAAGAGAACAATCCCCACTTCTGGAGGAATCAAACGACATGCCTGATACCCCATTCACTCTTAATGAACTTGACGCAGTCCTTGCTGCTCTGAGGAACAACAAAACACCTGGGCCGGATGGGTGCAGGTCCGAATTAGTTAAGTGGCTGTGCGAAACAAACCGAACCTACCTGTTAGAACTTTTAAATGACATTTTGACTGTGGGCATCTTCCCTGAATGTTTCTGTTTGGCAAATATTGCTGCGTGCTACAAGAAAGGAGATGCCAGCCAAATGAAAAATTACAGACCTATAGCATTGCTTCAGGTGTTTTTACAAGATCCTAGCCAGTCTAGTCCGCAATAGATTTCAACCAGCTTTTGAACCATGGATTCAGCAGACTCAATTTGGTTTTAGGCGCAAAAAATCCACTTCCCAAGCTATATTCATTGCTCGGCGTCTATTAGATATCTCTGAACGCCAACACACAAACCTTTCCTTAGTTCTACTTGATTGGGAGAAAGCGTTCGATAAAATCTGCCAATGCAAGCTTCTTCAAGTGCTCAGACGATTGAAGACACCACCAAACATGTTGCGTTTGGTTTCGATGATGTATCGAAATCCTAAGTTCAGAATCACCGCTGCTGGGACTTCTTCGAATTATAAAATGCAAAATTCTGGTATTCGACAAGGATGCTCTCTCTCACCGTATTTGTTTGTGCTCTTAATGTCCGCGCTTTTCTCAGACATCAAAACTAAACTTAACACACCAAAGCAAAAGGAACCTATTAGAGGCATTCGATTCGCTGAAGTTCTGTACGCTGATGATACTTTACTTTTTGGGACCCACACTCATACGATTAACAAACTTTTGCACGAAATACAAAGGGAATCAGACTACTACAATTTGAAATTCAATTACGACAAATGTATTAATCTGACTCTCCACCAACGACAGTCCAGTATCAAATATTTGGATGGCACATCTGTCCCACGCAAAAGAGAAGCAACATATTTGGTTACTTTACTTTCTGATAGTGTAAATAATCAGCGTGAAGTCAA